GGCAATAATTTTGAATCATCGTCTTAATGTGGATGACAACTTTTCCATGGCGTAAATACTTAAACTGAGCTGCCTTCGTAATACAATAATCAATCTCCGATGGAGTTGGTGGACGGTCCGGCTCATTGCCAAGCATGTGTGGATAGAGTTTGAGCGGAATGTATTGTTTTGAGCACCATATTATCGAGTCTTTATGGTGATGGCAACGGTGCAACCATTATGAGACACGTACTTGTAATGGCCCGTATCGTACTTTTGAAGTTTGCAATTACACGGAATCGTATCGTACTCATTAGCCCGGTTCACAATAGCCAGTTCCCAATGGCTGATTAACTTGTTAAAAGTTGCTGATAGCAATTTTTTTTTTGGATTGATCTGGAATAATCTGGGGAACTCTGGGCTACACATTCAAAAATGGATGTGTTTTTAAGTATCAAAGATTTGCTGATTGCAGCTAAAAATTTTGCTGATGACTGGCTATTGTGAACCGGGCTATTCTTGAGTACGATACGATGTATTTTTACATAAGCGTACTTCCCCATAAATACGATACACCGTACTCGTAAGATTATGTACTTGGAAAAAGTACGATACGTGACTGATACGGATACGTAACTAGCTGTAATTCCATGTACTCCTTTTTTCATTTTTGTTTAATTTTTTTCATTTTTTTCGTATTTTTTTCAATTTTTTTTCAATTTTTTTTCTAATTTTTTTCACGATTTTTTTCCTGATTTTTTTCCTGATTTTTTTTCCGGATTTTTTTCCAGATTTTTTTTCTCAATTTTTTTTCTCAATTTTGTTGCTCAATTTTTTTCTCACCTTTTTTTTCTCAATATTAGGGGGTATCAAATATAGGAAATCCACCATCAGAAACCAGTCACTTTTCCAAAAACTTTTTTTTGCATAAATGGGCCCCAAAAGGGGTTAAATGGATAACCAACATGTTTAAAAAAGGGTGGATTTTTTCAAACCAGTCAATTAAATAATGGTGGATTTGGTTATATTTGATACCCCCTATTCTGTTCTCACCTGTTTTTTTGGATCAGGCTAAGAGATTGAACAAGCTGGTTCACTCCAAACCATTTGGAATGAAGTGTTTGTACTACAAAATCTGGGCCAAGTTTGTTGGTGTCATATGGAAGCATGTTATGTGTGAAATCAACTCAAATTCTATCAAATTTTGTGGGGATTTCACACATTATGCTGCTACAGTACACTGCTACATTGTGCAAACAAATGGGGCCCTAGTGTTTTTTGAAGTGTTCAACCTTGCACTCCAATTTTTTTGGAGTGTATAAATGATGCACTCCATTCATATTCTAATACCAAACACTTCCAAGGTTTTTGTCAGCCTTAGAGCAAGCCAAGCTGGCCAAAAGACTGCTGAATTAAGCCCTCCTTTTCACTCAAGTTCACACTGTAACTTTTTCATCTTAATCTTTTATTTAATTCTGACTTCAGAAGCTAATTCCTCTGCTGAATTTAAATTAGTAACCACTACCCACTTGTACAATACTCTCCTCCTTCAAAGACTTTGCAATATTTCACTGTACCTTGTGAAATATCAACCAAGTTAGAATTCTAACTCTCTCTACCACATGTACATGTTTTGATTATGTAATTCAGCCATGAAAATTATCTCAGTTGATACTGAGTTTGCATTTTCAGGATCTTCAAGGTTCAGACCCACCCAGAAGGTTCACTCCAAAAAGATTTCCCCTTCTCACAACATTTCTCCACAGTTTTTGTGTATTCAAAATGAGTTAAATTCCAGCTAATCCACTCTTATATTTCTGAAGTGAACACCTGGGCCCTGTGTACTCCAAAACCTTGGGAGTGGATGGGATGTCAGTTCATATGTAGTTGTTCCTGGAGCATTGCTGGAGTGAATTGCCTGTGCACTCCACAAATGATTGGAGTGCATCATTTTTACATTTCTAAATAAATTGAATTTCAAGGTTAAACACTCCAATAAGCACTAGGACCCCATTTTTTAGCACAAGACAGCAGCATAAGGTGTGAAATACTTGCAAAATTTGATAGAATTTGAATGGATTTCACACATATTATGCTTCAAAATACTGACTTGGCCTAGACTTTGGAGTATGAAAAACTACACTTCTAGTTCAATCCATTTTTGGAGTGCATGTAGTAAAAACTAGGAGTGCCTTTAGCCTGACCCAAAATAAAAGCGAAAAAATGAGAATGAAAAAAAAAAAAAAAATGAGAAAAAATGAGAAAAAATTGGAAAAAAAAGAAAAAAAAATTGAAAAAAAGAAAAAAAGAAAAAAAGAAAAAAGAAAAAAAGAAAAGAAAATGAGGAAAAAATGAGGAAAAAATGAGAAAAAAATGAGAAAAAAATGAGAAAAAAACATAAAAAAGCATTGAGAAATGTAGTAATAGTGGTGAAACCCATCCCCATAATCATACAAAACTAAAAAATGTTGAAATTCTGTAATCAACAGTGTTCTAAATATCAGCACATCAGGCATGGACTTGGTGGCCTAGTTGGTAAAGGCAGCACTTCTAGTATAGTGTCTTAGCTTCAAGCTAAGGTTGCTGGTTCAAATCCTACCCAAGTCAATCTTTTCTGCTAACTGTCTGCAAAATGCATTGTTAATTTTAACAAAAAATGCAATTTAAGGCAGTGGGGAGAAAATACACTGAGTACGCTGAATACCGTATTTGTATCGTCCCAAATTCTGAGACGATACGGGCGTATTTCAAATTGTGTACTTGCTGGCCGAGTACAATGTACTTGTATTGTACTTGTTGACTAGGGTGATACAACGTACTCGAATACAATGTACTCAAAACAAAATATGATACAATGTAATGCGAGTACGATACGTGTATTGTAATGGTTGTACCGTTGTCATCAACGTGTGTGGTGAGTGCCCCGATTAGCTTTTTTTGTCTTGAGTTTTGAAGTAGAGAGTTGGGTCGTATTTCGAGTTGGAAAGGCCAAGGTCGGTGAGAGCCTTGCGTAGAGCGGCATTCCATTGTCGAGGTGATTGTTTTAACCCGTAGAGAGAACAATCTAGTTGACATACCCTGTTGGGGCGCGTGGGGTCTTCAAAACCTGGGGGTTGCTCCATGTATACTGTGTGGTCAAGATGACCATTTAGAAAGGCCGTTTTGAAGTCCACCTGTTGACCAGTCCAGTTGCGGATGCCTAGTAGACTGAGAATGAGTCTTAGTGTTGGTGAAAATATTTCGTCGTAGTCAAGCCTGTGAATTTGCGAGTAGCCCATGGCAACAAGTCTGGCTTTGAGTTTCTGAATTGATTTTTCGGGGCGGCGCTTAATCTTGAATACCCACTTTGACTTGATGATTTTCCGTTTTTGTGGACAAGGAACCAAGCGCCAAGTGTTCATCCCGAGCAGGGAGGCAAACTCATCATCGGCCGCCTTCAGCCATTGGTGTTTATTGGGGGATTTTAACAGCTGCTTCCACGTCTTTGGGGTGTCCAGATCCTCTGCTACCTTGACGTGCTTTGACCAGTTTCCATATCGGTCAGGAGCTTTCCTTTCCCTGCCAGATTGATGAGTTGGCGGGGGATGAGGAGCCTGAGCCCGTGTTGGATTACTAGGTGCTGAGCCACCATCAGAGGGTGCAAGAGGTGAATCTGACAGGATCGGGGATGGAGATAGTGGAGGTAGTTTGATGGGGACAGTGCCTGTTGGAGAGGTGTTGGTGGGTGATGAATTGGAAGTTGGAGCTGTTGGTGACATCCTGTGAGGATCATTCCCGGGAGCGTGAATCGACGCTGTCAGCCGGCGGTCGAAACGGGGTTGAAGAGGGATGTCCAGCAGAGGAAGATCCAGTAATGAAGGAGAGGATGGCGATGGAAGTTCGATTGGCGTGGCACGGTCATCAGTTGTCGGTTTCTTGGGTGGATCTTGAGTTGTGGGAACATCGGAGGAGATTGGCCAGGGAAGTTCAACAACTACAGGATCTGACGGTTTGGAAAGGGCTGAACCATAGGGGAACTTAGTGTCAATGAATGTAACATCACGTGATTTTACAACTGTTCTCCTCTCCAGATCCCACACTCGATATCCGTTACCATCATCAAGATATGACAGCAAAATGGATGCGCGTCCTCTTTGGTCGAGCTTCTTGCTGTTTTCTTCAGGCATCTTGTAGTAGGTGAGACAGCCGAAGGGGTGCAGGGAGTGGATGTTGATTGAGGGTAGTCCAAGAATTGAGGCCGGGCTTTTGAAACCTAGAGGAGTATTGCAGGGGACATGGTTGTGCGTATGGAAAGCATGTCGAAGAGAATCGACCCAGAAGGATTTTGGAAGATGGGCACTGATCAGAGAGGAGCGTACCAGATTACTGATGGTGCGGTTGGTTCGCTCTGCCACACCGTTGAGTTGAGGGGAGCGAGGTGGGCCTGGCTCATGTCGAATACCCGCATTTTTCAGATAGTTTTCAAACTCACTTGAAATGTACTCTCCTCCGTTGTCGGTTCTCAGTGATTTAATGACGTGGTTGTTAATTTTCTCAAATGTGGCACGGAATATCTTGAAGCAGGCAAATGATTCTGAATTTAATTTTATGGGAAAGAGAAAAACAGATTTGGAGCAGTCATTGATAAAGGAAATGAAATATTTATAGCCTTCACGGGAGTGGACTTCATATGAGCCAACGTCTGAGTGAATTACTTTGCCGGGTGATTTGGATCGATATAGTGAACAAGACTTGAAGGGTTTTTGGTGAAGTTTTGATTGTAGGCATATTGAACATTGTTGTATTTCAAGCTCATTTGATGTCGTTGGTGTGATGCCGTGGATCTTCAGGAGCCTTTTCAGTGGTTTA